AGGCCGGCCCCCCGGGAGCTGCGGCAGGGGGCTGGGGAGGAGAGCCGCCCCGCGTCCGCCGCCCCCCGCGCCACTCGCCTGCATGATGGTCTTGCGGATCTTCCAGAGCCGGTACGTCTCCTCCTCGTCGTCCATGGTGCCGCGGCCCGGGGGCAACCGCGCATGCGGGCTGCTGCCAGCACTGCGTCTGCGCCGGAGGGCGACAGGTGCAAAAAATAACTCCCCCTCACACTCACTGCGCCTGCGCGGAGCCACGGACAGGCCCCCGTAAGGCCCCCCCGCCCGGTTGTGTGCTGTCTTCGGCGAACGCCTGAATCAAGCGACTTCCACCATAGGCTGCGCGGCGGGCAGCCCCGCGATCGGCGGCGCGAGGTCGCGCTCGGGAGGATCTCGCGATACGTGGCCGGCCACGGTGTATGAGTTTGCCTGCGGGAACCGGGCGCGTAGACCACGCCTCCCATCCCCGCCCCCGGGAGGCGGAGGCGGCGGGTGTCTGCGAGTTCGAGGCCAGCCTGGGCCACAGCGCGGGATCCAGGACGGGCTCCAAAGCTGCACCGAGCAACCAAAGCGAGGAAAGAAATGCCAGGAGGAGCCTGGCGGCCAGAGCGGTGCGGGGCGTGGGTCCCGCGGCTCTGGGACGGCGGGGCAGCCCGCAGGCTTCCCCTCCGCGTCTGCGCCGCGGGTTTGCGCAGGGCACCCTCCCCAGGGGCCAGGGTCACCGCGTGCCGGGCCAGGGTCACCGCGTGCCGGGCCAGGGTCGCCGCGTGCCGGTTCCCCCTTTACGCACGGTTGTTAGCGGCAGATATTGGTGTAGATTCACTTTGCGTGGTACCGGGGTCCCTGGCCTCGGAGGTCGGCTCCCCACACCCACGCGAGGCCCCGACCCTCTGTAACCCCGGCTCCCGGGGGCCCGGCGTCCCCGAGAGCCACACTTGGCACCCACGGGCGGACTCACAGAAGTGCGCAGTTAAAATGCTCAAACTCGCCGGGCGGGGGTGGCCACACCTTGAATCCCAGCACTCGGAAGGCAGAGCCAGGCGGATCCCTGTGAGTTCGAGGCCAGCCTGGGCTACAGAGTGAGTTCCAGAACAGCCAGGGCTACAGGGAGAAACCCTGTATCGAAAAACCAAAAATAAATAAATAAATAAAATAAAGTGCTCAGACTCTGCCAGGGAAACTGTGGGTGTGGGGTCTGCATAAGCAGCAGGAGAGCGTGAGGACGGCCCGCGTCTGCCCAGCGCTGGAGAGCCGGGTGCTGGCCGTAACTCCAGTCCTGTCCGGCCTCAGCCCGTCCTCAGAGTCCACACTTCCTGCCTGGGAAAGACAAGGCCCTGCCAAGCCGGGGAGGCCCCCACCAAGAGCCCCTGAGCCCACCTATGGTCTGCAGAGCTCAGGTCAGCCTGGGACACCCGGTTATTGAGCCACGGATGCCAGTAACGGAATATGGGGCAAGCAAGTTTGGAAACCCAGAGAGTCACTAGGGCCGGGAGTGGTGGTGGGTGCGTCGGTCCCGTCACTCTGGGATCTGTCACTCTGGGGTCCTGTCACTCCGGGGGTCACTCCGGGGTCCCGTCACTCCGGGGGTCCGTCACTCCGGGGGTCCGTCACTCTGGGGTCCGTCACTCTGGGGTCCGTCACTCTGGGGTCCGTCACTCTGGGGTCCGTCACTCTGGGGTCCGTCACTCTGGGTCCGTCACTCTGGGTCCGTCACTCTGGGTCCCGTCACTCTGGGTCCCGTCACTCTGGGGGTCCGTCACTCCGGGGGTCCGTCACTCTGGGATCTGTCACTCTGGGGTCCGTCACTCTGGGTCCCGTCACTCTGGGTCCCGTCACTCCGGGGGTCCCGTCACTCCGGGTGCAGGCAGAGCTCTGTGTTGTTGTTGTTGTTTTGAGGTATGGGTGGGGAGCCTTGACATGAACTTTCAGGAGACACAAAGCGCTCACTCTTTTTGTTATTGTTTTGTTTTGTTTCTAGACAGGGTTTCTCTGTGCAGCCCTGGATCTCACTCTGTAGCCCAGGCTGGTCTCGAACTCACAGAGATCCTCCTGCTCTGCCTCCCGAGTGCTGGGAACAAAGCTGTGCAAGGCTCCTCCCAGATGGCTGCATCGTTGGTGAACGTCAGAGCCTGGGTACCTGGGCATCATGGGATATTAGGAAAGCAGTTGGGGGGACGGCAGGGGCTTCCCAGGGGCCCAGGGATGAGAACCGCTGCGGGGAGGGCCCTGGGCGTCTGTCCTCTCTCCTCCCCGGCTGTGGTGGTCTGAAAGGAGCCGGCCCCCACGGGAGCGGCACTGTTAGGAGCTGTGGCCTTGTTGGAGCAGCTGTGGCCTTGTTGGGGAAGTGTGTCCCCGTGGAGGCGGGCTTTGGGGTCTCACACTGTTGGGAGGCCCTGCTGGTCAGAGGCTGCAGTCCACCGTAGCCTGGCAGCTCTCTCCAAACCTCGGCGAGGCACTCCCTGTCCCCACAGACTTCCTGCTCCCCACCGGCCCTTATCTGGAGAACGTGTCTGGGCCTGGAGCACCGACCTCTGAAAGCTGTCCCTACCGTGCATGCCTGATTTCTCTCTAGCCTGACCCTTGGCATAGTTTCCTGCCAGGCGCCTTTCTTCCCACGGGGCAGCTAAGATTTGTACCAGGAGCTTTGCTACGGGACCTGCTGTCACCAGCCTACCCTTACCATAGGAGTGTGGCACTTCCTGCAAGTCAGGGTCTGTCCCCAGGCTTCCCCATACATTTCCTAGACTCAAGTCGAGCTGGTTCACCAGAGTCGTCTCCTGGAGGACTGACCCTCGTACCCACAGCCCTCTGAGCCCAGTCTGCCGCTTCGGCTCCCCCACGCCGGCTCCCCCACTCCCAGGGGATCAGCTCACGATCCCTGAGGACAGGCAGCTACAAAAATGCTCAGGATACCGCCCATTGTCTCAGACCACTTCCTGTTGCCCCGCAAGTCAAGATGTAGGACTCGGCTCCTTCTCCAGCACCACGTCTACCTGCAGGCCGCCATGTCCCACCGTGATGATGGACTAAACCTCTGAACTGTCAGCCCCTCCAAATAAATAGTAGCCTTTGTAAGAGTTGCCGTGGTCATGGTGTCTTCTCAGCAGTTCACACCCTAACTAAGACACCTCCGTTCCCTGGGATTCTGCCTCGTCTGGCTCCTGGAATGTCTTCAGCTGGAACTTCCAGCTGAGAAAGCCCAGTCCTCCAAACCCCACCCTCTAGAAAAACCACCAGGAAGTCCAGCTCGGCACTCCTGGCTGGGGCGGCCGGCTGCCCAGTCCCCACCTAAAGCGTTATAATGGGGCACAACCCCAGCTTGTGGTGGACGAGTCATCACCCCAGCGCCCACAGGGAATTTAAGGCCCCTCTTTAGATTGGCCATGTGATTGTTTTCCTGCCCCTTCGGCCTCCATCTCTGGGGGCTAGAGGAGTCACCCAGGAGCTGCTTTGCCCAGAATGAACCTGGTCTTTACTTTTTAATTTGGCTTGATCTGGCTTGCAGCATCAACAGAGAAACCTATTATTGGGGTACAGAAAACCTATTCGTGTGGACCCCGGGTCTCCCTAGCTCCTTCCCGGGGCCCTTCTCAGACTTTTCCTCCTAGTCCGTCTCCATTCGTTTCTGTCACCAGCCAACTACAGCAGCTTCCCTACCAGGAACGACACAGCCACAAAACTGGCCTGGGGTCCAGAAAGGGCAGCAATAACCAAAGAGCAGAACACCCACCCAACATAGATAAAACCGGATAAAACACCAAGACACACCTTGCGGGGCGTTGGTGGCACACGCCTTTAGTCCCAGCAGGCGGATCTGTGAGTTCGAGGCCAGCCTGGGCTACAGAGCGAGATCCAGGACAGCCTGGGCTACAGAGCGAGCTCCAGGACAGGCGCAAAGCTACACAGAGAAACCCTGTCTCAAAAAACAAAACAAACAAACAAAAATAATAAAGACCCACCTCAGATATCACAACTCCAGATGCTTAGATCCCAGTGTAAAGGCCCCCAGACTGTAGCATGATGGAAGTGCCATCATGTACAGCATGTAGACAGGACCACCTGCCAAAATAAAAACAAAGACCTAATCCACGAAAGTCCACAGTTCTGGGCTGGGCAGTGGTGGTGCACGGCTTTAATCCCAGCACTTGGGAGGCAGAGGCAGGTAGATGTCTGTGAGTTCGAGGCCAGCCTGGTCTCTAGAGGGAGCTCCAGGACACAGGGCGACACAGAGAAACCCTGTCTCAGAACAACAAACAAAAAGAAACGAAAGCAGTGCTTTTGTGGTTAGAAGCTGCAGACACAGACACCAAGGGCTCTTAGTGAGTCTCTAAATCCTTCTGCCCCAGATCCCGAGACCCTAGCTGCCAGGGACTCCTGAGTGGTCTGACGGACCACAGCCTGTGTCGGGAGAAACCTCTCACCTAAAGATCAACCCTAAAGGTCTCTAGGCCCCTGACGAGGTCCCCACGATGTGGTCCTGTTCATAGTCATCCCCAGGCCCGATGGAGGTGTCCAGAACAGCAAGGATCTGCTTGGCCAGCTCCTGTCTGGGTCAGGCCTTTAGCAAACAGCTACTGAGCATGCCCTGGGGAGCCAAGGAGGACGCAGCCCTTGCGGGATCCGAGGAGGGAAGCCCCAGTGGGTTAAGGGATTGGAGACCTTGGAGAGATACGAGGCCGACTCTGGGTGAGGTGAGTCAAATGACCTGGTCGGCATGAGGCAGCCTAAGCGGTTGCTAAGTTTGCTTGTCAGGCCTCAGCTCAAGGTCCCTTCCCCTGGGATGTGACACAGGCCCCGTTGGAGCAAATTACGAGCTGGCCCGGATTCAGGATCAGGGCCCATGGGGAATGAGACTTGCTGGAGTGTGTGGTTCCTGCTCCGGGCTGTGTAGACCCGCACAGCAGAACCTGCTTTTTCTCAGCATGGAGTGTGAATTAATCTTCCTGTCTCTCATGACAGGGGGATGGATTCTCTCACCCAGTGAGGGCCCTTGGAGCCAATTCCCATGTCCCAAATGTCCCAAGTAACAGAGGAACAAATAGCGATTTCTCTGTGTTGTTCCTGGGATGGGTGTTACCGTGGACATGGGGGTGCACGCTGGTTCAGTTAGATGCACCCTACATCCCGGCCTTCAGCCTCCTCCTCTTCAGAGAAACAATCCCAGGGCTGAGAGGCCAAGACCTGGATCCTCCGATCTCTCCACTGAATCCAGAGAAATTAAACTAGAAACTGACC